ATCCCAATCCAGGGCTTGGCACGATTTGCACTTCTCAGCCGATTTTCGACTCGACTCCGCCTTTCGCTACTCTTCTCACCTCATCATCTTGCGCGCAGTCCAAACATCGCTCGACATTTAGACGCTCGTAGACGTGAGATCCACCCGCTTTGGGCGCTCACGCTTTAAACTTCATTCTATTTTGTTTCGTTCACATTACATAACTAATTGTCATTCATTTAGATTTACAACGCCTGTTTATTGCCGATGTAATACTAAAAGCCCTAAAAAAAGCGTATTGCTGTATGCCAAAAAAACACTTCCTCTATTACGAATAATTTATTGAACGATACAAGTACGTTTGAAAACTTAGAAGCGATGTGCAAAAAATTATTTCCTGATAATACTTATACTGTCTCAGCAAGGGAGAAGAATTTGTTAGATTCGCCTTTACAAAATATGGCTAACATCTCGCGTACCTGTAAAAACCAAGTGGCCTGTCTGGAGAACTCGCCTAACATTCACGAGCAGATAAAAAAAGCTGGAACGTATACCTCGGACTTGGCATTACACACGACGAATTATCTAAAATGAGAGCAGAATCTAGAATGCGATATTAACGACAATGGAATGAGTTCGGAGGAAGTACTTGATGAGCAAGTCATCGAACTCATTTAATTATATATCGTTTTATTAAATACTTTCATTCCACATTCTGCATTTTTAGATACATTTATTGTGTTGACATGCAGAATTCGAGATACAATTTACAACTTTTTTTATCTGCTCGTAAATGTGAGGCGAGAATTACTACAAACCAAACGATTTTGAGAGTATGGGTCATGTATCTGGTGATTTCTCTCATATGCCTGTGGTGCGCATGCTGATTGTACGCAGTCATAAGGCACCTACAAGTTTAACGTCGTTTCCAAACTTTGTTTAGAGAAGTGTACTTGGCAAGGATATTCTCGGTGATTTGCCATTGTCTGCCGAGAGGAGCTACGAGCGTTCGACAAATTTTTTGGTTTTGCCTGGGATCGAACCCGGGATCTCTGGCATAGCAGTCTCGGCTATATTGTCTATACCACGCTCGTGCTCGAACGATTTTACGAGAAAATGTAAAATCTGCTGTGGAAAAATGGCGCAAAGATGACAAAAAGCTGAAAAAGCCCGATGGAAAGATCTCGAAGAGCGCGTAGAATTTATCACCTGCGCGGCTTTCGGAATTTAGAGTGTGGAAGGTTTTCTCTTTCTCTTTCGTTATCGATATCGCGTGTAAGTTTCAACAATACTGCGTTGTTTCTTATAATTCTCATGATTGGTCTTCTACCGATAATATCGACAGAGCCGTTGATCTTAAATACCTTCGAGATCTGTGCCAATATCGCGCTGAATTTTTAATTAGACAATTAGGAAGGAGAATACGTTGTACGAAGACACGTATTGTCAACGTAATTTGAGCGCCGTTGATATGTCGGACTTAAAAACTTTTTTTGATCTTACATAATGTTACTTCTTGATACAATAGATACCAGTCAAACACCGTAAAAACGTATAAAAATTTATAAATATTGTTTGTCAAGTGAAAATCGCAAATAAGTTATTTTTTACAATCGCTTCTTTTATTAAGTATTCAAATTAATTCTACATTAAATATCTGGTTTAGTCATAAAAAAAATCAATTTATGACTCTATACATCAAATTAAATTCATTAGCGACAATAAGACTTAGAAAAGATAAGCCTTAAGATATCCGAAATCAATATATCCTTAAATTTGCTGATTAAATTTATTCGATTCAATATCCACTTTTCAATATATATATTCTATAAGTCGATACGCATCGTATGATACTAACATTTTGAATTTTATGACTATCAATTTTGCATTTGATAAGAGCGAATGTTTAATATTGTATTAAGAGAAATTAAGACATAAACGCACGCATTGATTCAAATCAAATGTCTACAGGAAAGTAACAATGTTGGGACTGAACAGAGATAGCACTTCTTTCTGCATCATCTTAATCGGCAACTTGTTAGAAAAACTCATATCACTGGAGTCACACGACCCTGAGGAATTGTGCACGGCACTCATGTTGACGATTGCACATGCGGCGCATTTCTCTTGTCAAGTCGTTCGGAACAAAATCCCCGATGGACGAAATCATGATGGACGAAATCTTTTATACAAATGATTCATATCATTAAAGTTAATATTTATTATTTATTTAATTTGGTATGAGATTTAATATAAAGAAACAAGTTAACTACAATACAATGTTTATGGAAAGTTTACTTTTTGACAAATTCATCAAATTTTCTTTACTTTTTGCAAGAAAGTTTTGTTATTCGTTACTTTTAAAAATCTTTTATACACAATGATACATATCATTAGAGTTAAATAAATAATAAAAATAGTAAATAATAAAAATAACTATTTAGGTTCTACTTTTTAATTTGTTACAATAAAAAAAAAGTATCACTTAGTTGAGTTATACGTTATTTTTTAATATATATATACACACACACACACACACACACACACACATGTGTATAAGAAAAATGTCATAAAACTTGGCAATACTTAATGAAAAATTGATATTAACATTATTTACATGAATTTGTTGATAAATAGTATTCACATTGATAAAATTGCATTTATACGTCATACGAGATTTATACTTGTATAACAACATTTATTTAAAATTTATAATAAAACATGTTCAAAATGTCCTTTTTTCCTAATTCTACATAAAGACGTTGAAATGCCCGTCGAATTAAATTTGTTCCAGTATTATAAATCTTTTCGGGAGTAATAGAAGAAATTTCTTCTATAATACGCTTTTTTAACTCATTCCAATTGTTTATTAGATTTCGATGAACGTACCCCTTTATATGTTTTCAACAGAGTTGAGTAAGTTAACTCTTTTTTTAAATTAAGTTAAGTTAACAGCTTTGAAAATGTAACTTGTTAATACGTAAGTTGTTCCATAATAAAATTAATTGAATTGGAAGTTAAATTAATAAAAAAAAGTAATTGAAAAATTAAAAGTTAAATTTGTTTTATTACACGATTTCAAGATTTCAGATTTATAAATAATGGAAATAACAAATATATCCTTTATTTAGAAGCATACTCTATATAAATATTTTTACATACACTTATTAAATCTAAGTAATAAAGCCACTTCGAAATTTTTATCGGACATTTTTCCTCGAAAGTTGTCGAAAACGAGTCGAAATATAGTTAACTTTAAGAAACTCCAATTAAAAGTTAATAGTTATCAATAAATTGTAAGATTCTAAAATATAAGTTAAGTTAAAATTATTTAACTTTTTAACTTTAAAAAACTTAACTTTTCTAATTTTCTAAGTAAGCACTAGCCAACCTTAGTTTTCAGAAAAACTACATGTTATAATAAGTTTTAAGTAAACGTTGTTATATAAGTATAAATCTCGTAATATGGAGAGAAAAAGAGAAAAGATGAACCATACAAGAAGTTTAAAAAGAACAGGCCTATAATAACATATCTTATTTCTTACACCATGCGCTGGACGCTACATCGCTTTATGCCCCAATCCATCTTCTTGTACTGTTTTAAGCGGTTCATTCATCTACGCTTCCGTTTCACGCGTACCAAAAGGCTATCCAAATGACTAATTTCGACTGGCCGAATCAATTCGAGAGAAAGCTCGCAGAAGCGAACCTCGAGAGGCTCTTCTTCCGCATCGGGCACTCGATAATTCAACGAGCGAGCGATAGCCGCGTATTCTTACCTGAAAATCAATACGGAACTACGGCGGGCTTTCATCGTCGTAGTCTCTGTCGTGATCCCATATCGTACAGGGCACGTATCTACGGCTTCTTTTTTATCGGGGGCAATTGGGACTGGATTGGCACATTCATTGTACGGACGCAATTCGTAAAACACAATCCGTACGATGGCAAAGCGGGAGAAGCCAACCTCCTCCCGCTATAGCGAAATCAATAGAACTTTGCCGGAAGTAACGAAGGAAACACTTTCTTTCTCCTTCCCCTCACATCTTCACACAAAGTTTTTTTCTCGCTACTTCCTCTTCCTTCTTCCGCGCTGGCAAACGATCAAGCTGTTGAGGTACGAGAATCCTTTATTGGAAGTACCTAATTGGCGGGCTTATGGGACAAAGGAGAAAATAGCAGTTGTGAATCCGATTGTCAAGCATCTCGAATACACGCCGTATTAGTATGTATGAAGTGCGAAGACGCTGCTTCTCTCAATCCGATCTACTCGAAGAAACCTTCACTGCAAATTTCATTAGGTGAAAGACAGGCAGATTTGTCTTGGATCCCTTAACCTACATCTTTTGCACGAAATTGTCTGATTGAGACGGAAAATCTTTACTATTCGACTCTTTCTATAACTGACGCTTAATTTAACTAACGAGTCGGGAACATTTAATCGCTATCGTCTTTTTGTTAAAAGATGAGCTGTAGAGAATTAACCTGAATCCTAATCCTGAGATTTCTGAGAGTTTCTCATAACGAGATGTTAGCTTATTGTTAATAAGCTGGATTTTGAAGTAGCTTTGAATGGATTAAAAAACTATTTTCCCACAAATATCGTTGAGATAATGGAGAGAGAGAGAGAGAGAGAGAGAGAGAGAGAGAGAGAGAGAGAGAATTCGGTTTCCATAAAAATAAATACTTGTCTTAATTGTATTCTATATTTACGAAAAGTTATTTACGAATAATATAATTATTTTCTACAAAAAAATAAACTTTTCGTAAAGATATTAATAATTATGCAATCTTAACAATTGTAGGACAACATTACTTACCTTTTAACTCAAATCCTGAAAGAATTAATTGATTGGTTATTCAAAACATATTCAAAACATTCAAGATTGTTATTTAGCAAAATGCAAAATTGTTTTTCAAACTTCATTCATCTTGTCTTTATTAGTTAGTCGATGAATCATGCATTTCATTATTTACAATATAACGCGTTGACTTAAACTGTACGTATACAATAAGCTACACGATTAACGGTAGTAATTATTAAAGTAACATCCACGTCTCAGCGATCAATGTACATGGATCAATGTATATGGACATGAATTACTTCTGTATCACTGTTTATTTCAATTATTATCGGACAGTAACAAATTGGATACTTAGGAGAAATTTAATACGAAATTTTAATTTATAGAAAATAAATAGTAAATGAAATATGATATTAAAAAAAAAAATGATTGATGATAAATCAAAATTTCAAAATACTCAAAATTAAAATATCCCACGAAGTAAAAGTAGTATTTCTTAATGATTTAAGAAGCACGATTCATTCAAGTTCAATCAACTTGAGCATTTAAGAATATTAATTATGCGAATTAGATAGTTCAAGCATTTTCACAGATTGAGAGTTTCAAATATATAACTATTAGAATTTTTTGCAAATTTATTGAGCGAATCATTACTGATATCTGCACATATCATATAAAGTCGTTAGCAAAAAAATTGCATAAAAACTGTTTCTTTTAACCCTTTCAAGCCCATTATTGTTATTTTTACATCAGAGATTTGTTTCCCTAGATAAATTTATGTTTACATTTATTTTTTTTTTTAATTACAATCTCTGATTAATTACAATCTCTTGTAATATAATATAATACAGTATCGCTAAACAAATATAATACAATATAATGTAACATCATGGAACATGATGTAATGCACATTTCTCTGTCATATTATTTTACACTACATAATTATTATAATTACATAACATAATATCATATTTCATATTTTGATGCATATATTTAATACATTCTTAGGAACTTAATTAAAACGATATAATTTTAATAATACCGTGCGGCATATTGGAGAGCTGGAAAGGGTTAATGAGCCTTATCCTTTAACTTGCTTTTACATTAATACATAAGTATAGGTGCAGGCTATCTTGTGATCCGCGAGCACGCTGATGAAGTACATTTTGATCTTGGAAAGCCCATAGTCCGAGATCGATTTGCTGCTAGAAAGGGCGGATTACTCCCTAAGGGTTAATGAACGGTTCATTAATGACGCAGTAGAACGCGATCGGTCTCGCTTAAAAATGCCAAACGATGTGATTAATTTAATATTTCAATTTTTTTATTATTTCACGGATACTTGATATACACCGAAATATATGAAAAATCGATATGTGCCGTGGCTCTTTCATTAACGTATATGCGAACGATTATTCACGATGACTAAACGATCTCCTAATTAACTTTCATTCAGATCAATCATCGTTTCAACAAATTACTCTAACGATCTTCGAGACATTCTTCTTTCATTAAAAATGTCCAACTTGTTATTAGAATTATTATTACGCTCAACAATTGAGGGATTAATCAATCTTATTAATTCAGAAAAATTTCTTTCGATAGTGTCGGTTTTAAATTATTCATGGTATAAATTTGTATTTGGAACGAACTAGAATTTTTTTCTTTTTTTCATAAAATCAATTATTATATTATTAATAACGGATAAAATTTTCTTTAATAATTATTTTCTTTAATAATTGATGGAATTCCATGCTAATTAATTGTCATCGGAAAATGTCAACCTTTTTAAAAATCTGTGATTAACAATCGTAATTTTCAACAAAAACGGTCAATAATGTTTCATTTACGATAAAATCGTTAATTACAGAAATATCAGAAAATTGCATTTACGTTAACCGTTTATTTTTTTACTTAAAGATAATATTAGACGGTAACTTCTTCGGAAAATCTGCTCTTATCGTCGAGGTTGATAACTATGGCGTGCGTTCTAGCGTGACCGGATTTACTCCTGGATTTGTCCTTCGAATCAGATTCTTTGCCATCTTTTCCGTGACACATTTCCCTGCCGACGTCCTCAATAGGGTGTTTCGAGGATGTTGACACGGCGATGTCTTTTCCGATTTTCCTCGACTCTGGCGTTTCATTATCCTTCGACATATCGCGCACATCCTTTCCTCCAAGCCCATTTTTCTCAATACATGCGCGACATCGATTTTCGCTCCGAGAACCGTTTCCTAAACAAAGGTAGAATTATCTGCCCGCAGGGCTTCACGGAATGTAATGAAAAATTAATAGAGTGTCCTGAACGGGTACAAAGGAAGAGAGTAAATAAATAAAACTCTCGTTTAGACTTCCAGTTTTTACAATAAAATTAATTTAACCGAGCAACATTCTTGAGGCAGATTACTTTATAATTCCGTTCATTTTCGTTTTTCTGATCTTTCAATGCATCAGAAACAATTTCGCAGTTCTTGCCCCCTAATTTCCAACTTTAAATGTAAATGAAATATGCGGGCCATATATACTGCTTTTGTTAGAATTTCCACTTTTTCTAATTTTATCCTCCGTCTCCAAAGCTACGATCATTCGTAAATCTGTGTCATTTTTAAAACAGATAAATTCCTCTGATTTTATTTCCAACTGCTAGCAGTGCTAGCTTCGAGCTCAGAATGTAATATATAAATAAAAGGTTTCTCTTCAGTTCATACAGAACTTTTATTGACGAGATTTTATTTCCGACTATGTTAACGTTGAAAAACAGTTACAACATATTTCACAATCCCGCTAACTTTTTGTAAAAATTCAATACACGTTATTTTAAATACACGTTAGTTTATTTTTTACCTGTTTGGGCCTGCTCTTGACAAGCTTGTCCGAGATTAGTTTCTTTTGTCGATTTATTGAGATCATTCAACTGAACGATGCTAGTCGAAATGGCTTGAATAGTAGATACTTGAGCCTCGACTCGATTCGAAGCGTCCAGCATGGCTGCCAGCTTCCTGGACAGTTCCTGATTTCCTAATAATATGTTCTTCTCCTTCAGGATCTCTAACTGATTGAGCAAACGGCGGAATTCCTCCTAGAAAGAAGTTGTTGGTCTCTTGCCAC